TCTCGCTCTCAGTATTAAATATTTAATAGCATATTTTCCCTTAATGGAACCCAGGCCCATCTGATCAGTCACTAGGATCATCTAGTAATGCAGTCAAAGTTACAATACGGCCACCTCACATCAGCTTTGTAATTAGACAATCCATCACTTTATTAATTCAAAAAATTGCTTTCCTTACTACTTGATAGCAAGCTGCGGGAGCGAAAGCCAATTGAGCTCATCAACAAAAAGGCTCTAAAATTTTGTCCGAGGTGAACTTGAAGCCATCAAGTGGCAAACGTGCACACACACTCATGACCTTTCAAAGCAAGAGGTAATGGTCTGCCTACAAATTAGCGCAGAGCACGGGAGTCACCCAACACCAGCAGCACAGCAGCACAAACAGCACAAATCAGCCTAAGGGCCTAGACTGACACTCAGATATACCAAGATCAGCCTCGCTCTTTCTTTTTACTGCAGTCTCCCAGAGAATTAAAAAAAAAAAAAAAAAAAGTATTTAAAAGAAAGGATTATATAACGTTTTTTTTTTCTTTTTGTCTACTTTTTACTAGAATTATGTTTATCAGCACTCTGAGCCTTAACAGTACACACCAGCTAAATGCAACTTCTAATTTGAATATAATCTGAGTCCTGTTTTATTTGGTCTAATCCCTAATGTCCTTCAAAATATTTAATTAATATATCTTCTCATCTTATTAATCCACAGGATTTTTGTTATGACAAATTGAATTCTCCAATTAAAAATAAAAGGAGTTTGCTCATAATGAAACAAAATATGGAATTTCAGTGTCCTAATTCTAAAATAAAAGCAATCACCTTTGAATGTCTTCTTTCAAGTTCATACAACCAGCATACACTGAAAATACAACTAAAGGCATTAAAAATTATATTAAATTAAAAATCATATCTAAGACAATATATATGCCTTGAAGTATAAAAATGTGACCAGAAGAATTATTATTTTGTTTAAAGGGGGAAAGGGGAGGGAACATCTTCTCAAACGGATGTGGAATTTCTAATGAAAAAACTCTGCGCCAATGGCGCAACAGTGGAATTAACAGTACTGCGGAGCTTGGGGACCAGTAACAAAGACATATGCTCTGTGCTCAGGAAGGTCATTATTATTCTGTTGCTTCCAGTTTAATGTCTATTTCTGGAACATTCTGTGCAAACCATTCAGTTTCTACTTCATTGCTCAGATCTTGCCATGTTTCTAATCAGTCATTTTATTCATATTTAGAAAAGTTACAAATCTAGAATAAAATATTATTTTTTCTGGAACCCTGAATGAACCCCTAAACAAATAATTTCTGTACATTAATAAAAAGCCTCAAAAGCTATTTACAGAAATTAGTTTAGCCTACTCATAAATATTTCCAATAATTATGATAAATAGAAATATTACATGCTGTAGTACATTTCAGAAAATTATCATAACTAAGACACTTATGATTTAGTTTTCACCTCTTTAGGTACAAGTATGAAACAGAGCTCATTCATACCCTGCTTCTCACAGCCCCCACAGAAAAAGTCTAAAATCGCTCGGGAAGCAGCAAGCTGCTCTGAGGGAAGGCAGGAGTAAAGTTCTGCCTCAATAAACTCTGGACTAAACCAAAAACAGCTTATGAGGGCAGAGACATTATTTTCTGTCTGCAAAATTTCTTCTCATCAAGACAGGTAATTCATAGCATCTCAAGAGACACCAGCCCTGAGCACAGCGGTGAGCAACCGTCTGAAACTCTGGTTTACAATCAGTGGCAGCCTGTGCTGAGTGCTGAATGACAGCACTGGGAGGCATAAACACTGACATTTTATACTCAAATACCAGTAACACAGGGAGGTGGAGTGACTGCTGTAGACATTCCTAGTGTGTGTCATATATCCTACCAAGCAACTTACAGTTGGTCCTCATTTTTGTTCACAAAAGAGATGATAGTATTATTCCTATGTACATATAGACACAGACACACACACACACATACACACACACACACACACAGATAAACAAAAACAGATCAGGAGAAATTCACTTCTTGCTTGGAGAAGATGACTTAACTGCCATACCATATGGTCTCCTTTTAAATTTGTCCTCTCAGAGCTGCAGAGACAGCTAAGGCATTAAGAGCACTGGCTGTTCTTCCAGAGGGCCCAGGTTTGATTCCCAGCACCCACATGGCAGCTCACAACTGTATGTAACTTCAGTCCCAAGGGTTCTGACACTCTTCTGGCCTGAATAAGTACAGAACACATGTGGTGCACTTAGCTACCTGAAGGTGAGACCCACGCACATAAACTAATAAAATGAAACCATGTATAAATAAGGAAATGAATCGGTCCTCTCGGTGGCTGTACTTTTCTGATCTTCTAAGTTAGTAAGTATAGTTAATATACTCCTTTTCTGCCTTTGGAGCAAATGTTTAGGACTCAGTCTGAAGATTTTATTAGAGCTCTTGTTCTTCCCAGAAGAATGCACCACAAAACCTAACTAGAAACCTCATGAGAAAGTAAGAGAAATGTGGGGAGTGGGGAAGAGGGGAGTGAGGGAGAGTGGGGAAGAGGAGCTAGCATGGAAGGAGATAAAAGGGAGAGAAGGCCCTTATCTTAGGTGAGCACATGAATCATGTTCTCTCTCTGGCTGACTGAAAAATGATAGTAAAATGGGTGTAGGATAGGAAAGTGGCAAGAGGTTTCCAGCCTGGCGCCCTCTGCGAAAGTCTAGCGGACTAGACAAGGCACACAGACTCCTCTAAACACAGAGCTTTGGGTTGAGAAGCTCTTCTCCGTGGTTTGCAGGACACTAATTATCCTGATTAAGATCATTTTCCTGAGAGAGGAAAAGCCAGAGAGGGCTCTCTTCTACAAACGAATTGATCAGCAGAACAACAACCACCACGGGTGTCACCGCAACATTAACTAATGACACAGGAAGAAGCGCAGGAGCCTCAAGTTAATCATCTGCTTTCCTCTGACTTTGACTAAAGTACAATTTAAGACAAAAGTTACATATCTGAGCCCAATTATTCTCCAAAATCTCAATGATATGTATGTTTCCTTCTGTTTGTGCACATGCATGTGCACGCATTTGCATGGGTGGATCACCCACCTTGGTTTTATGAGACAGACTCTTTCACTGAGACTCAGGACCTCCTGACTGGACAACACTGGTGTCCCCACAGACCCACTTGTCACCATTTCTTATGCAGTAGGGTTACAAGCATGCACCCCACAGTCAGCCTTCGTATGTGTGCTGGGGTTGGACGTGAGGAGCTTCTGCTTGTGTGTACAATACTTGAGCCCCCCAGGTCCTAAATGCTCCACTTTTACAGCAAGCACAGCTACAAGTATATGGGAAAGAGGAGGGCTTACGATTGAAAGCTTGTCCAAACAAATGACCTTTCATCACAATACCAGAATATTCCTCACATACAACATGGGAAAAGTTTCATAAAATAAATGTCGTTAAAAATGTTTATCAAGGCCAGGTATGATGGTGCACACCTTTAATCCCAGCACTCAGGAGGCAGGGAAAGGCGGAGTTTCAGGCCAGCCTGGTCTACAAAGTGAGGTCCAAGACAGCCAGGGCTGTTACACAGAGAAACCATAACTCAAAATACAAAAAAAAAAAAAAAAAAAGTTTAAGGAGCCAAGCAATGATGCCTCAGGCAGTGCTTCAAGGCAATGGATCTCTCCAAGTTTGAGGCCAGTCTGGACTACAGAGCAAGTTCCGGGTTAGCCAAGACTATACAGAGAGACTCTGTCTCAAGAAACAAAACAAAATGTTTAGCAATAAACAATATGAATAAGACAGTGACTCACATTTTAAGCTTAACAACATTTTACACGAACACTAATTGCAATTACTCACTTTCTCAACAACAAAAGTGACATCACAGGACAGCTACATTATTAACGTGAGGAATGATGTACCAGCGGTCAGAAGACAAATGCCGCTGTTTCAGTGTTTAACATGAAAGAAGCTACGTGCACTGTACTTATAAAACTACTAAAGGTTGTAATTTTTCAAAAACACATGAAACAATCAGAGTAGCCATCATATTTCAAATCAACTTTAAATTATAGACAAACCAGAATATAATACTATGATCACAGTATCAGAAAAGTATCGGACATACTTTACAGAATAAAAATAACTTTGGGGGGAAAAAACTAGAAGAAATCTCTAGCACTCCAAATAATCACATTTAAATTCTTATAAAATGGGTAGTTTTGAAAGTGTACCTTAAAATAAGCATGGAATATTATAAAGTATGTGTTCTATAAATTTCAAAGTAAGTAGCAAGGTTGTCTTCTGATGTAAAATGTGATGACCACTGAAAACAAATGGGCAAAGACAACAGATGCAGAGCAGAGTGTGGAGTCCTGGGTCTGTGTCATCCTCATGCATCACTGCTGACTGCACCAAAGCAAATTCTCAGAAGAAAACACCCGCTCCCACTAACAGACTACAGAAGAAGCACAAATAAATCTGTTTTCTACCCCAACCCAGGATTTTAATAATCTGCTCTTTAAATTGTTTTAAGTCAGAAACTGCCATGCAATTTTATCATTTAAAACTCAGATAATCAGAATAGATCCCAATAGATTGTTTCAGTTGGCTAAAACAATCAACATAAAGAATAAATCCAATAATAATGTGAAATCCTTCAGTACAAAGTAAATACACACACACACACACACACACACACACACACACACACTGTCCTTTTGAAACAAGGAAACAGATCCTCTGATGGGGATATGGGCAACGAATAATCTCCAAGTAAAAATACTCATCAAACAGAAAAGTGATACAAAGACCATCTCAGTGCAGGCACCACTGAGCATTTTCACTCCCTGTTTATTGAGATGCAGAGTGATGCAGGACTTTAGTTGTCCTAAATAACCCATCAAGGCTTAGGTCTGTTTGCAAATGACAGGAAAACAAAGGGTGAGGGACTGACTTACAGCATCAGCCAAGAGAGGAAGCTCTTCAAACTTACTTTTGCAAAGGCTTCAAAAAGGTCAAAAGAAGGCGGCAGCTGAGAAGCATCCTGTATTTCTTCTCTCATGAAATGTTGAAATGTCATTGCAAGTTGCCTCAGGCCCTCTTTTTTATCTTCAGTGAGTTTGCTAATATCTTTTTGTAAAGAAAATAAATAGTATAATTACCAAATGAACATCATGAATAATTCTCAGGTGTTCAAATGCTGGCTACTAAACAAGGTATTTCCTGACATACAATCGGTCCTGACAATCTTATTCTTTTGACAACTACAAAGCATGATACATGTTACATTGGTTAAACTCTCTCCAACTTTATCTACAAAATATAACAAATGGCTATCAAGAAATATGCATATACAGGTTTTAAAACTATAATAAACCAAAATCAGCTGCACATTCCCAGATCCTTTACATTATAGAGCACGACTCTACCATCATAAATCCTAATTAAGTCGGTGAATTTAAACTGACTTTTTCACCATAATAATTCACATATAGGTCACAACTGACTGGTAAACAGTATTATCTGAAAAGTTAAAAAGACAGAAAACAAGATATTGAAAGTTCACATGAAGTTTAAGCAACTGAAATTTGCCATATAAAACGTGAATCATAACAGAAACGTTGGTGACTTGAGAAATCTCAACCTCAAGGGATTTCCAGGATGGACAAACACAGGTAGGCCTGGAGGCAGCCCAGCCTTTTCTCTTTATGCTTCAGTTAAAGAGAAAGATTCTAGACACAAGAAAAGAGCTAAGACTGATACAAGAATTGTATAATGCTCTGGGTACAAAACTGAGATAAAAATTACTGAGACTTCGTACACATCTGTAGCAAACTTGACAAGCCGGGCAGTGGTGGAGTGCGTCTGTAATCCTAGCACTCGGGAGGCAGAGGCAGGCAGATTTCTGAGTTCGAGGCCAGCCTGGTCTACAGAGTGAGTTCCAGGACAGCTAGGACTACACAGAGAAACCCTGTCTCGAAAAACCAAAAAACAAAAAAACAACAACAACAAAAAACCAACTTGACAAGAAAGAAACAAAACACTTTGAGTCACAACTGTGACCCAAAATGAAACATACGGGAAGGAATGAAGCTAAAGAAGTGTAAACTGTCCCTCCGCAATTACAGGATTCTGATGAAGGAGACTAGAGGAGGGAGGAAGGAAGAAGGGGGGGAGGGAGGGAGGGAGGGAGAGAGGGAGGGGAGGGGGGGAGGGAGGGAGGGAGGGAGACTGGGGACAGAGGGAATTAGACATTAAACGAGACAGCCCATATCTGTGAGTCAGAACAAGTCATGTCATTGAGATGCTCACACCACCCCAAGGGATCCACTGACTTATGTGATTCCTATAGATATGTAGGAATATGCATTACAGGGAAGGACAGTGCCTTCAATAAATCATATCTGCAGAGTAGATATTCATGTACAGAAGAACAAAACTAGAACCCTATCTCCCTTCATATACAAAAGCAATATTAGATATATCAAAAACATAGATATATAACCCCAAATCCTGAAACAATTAGGCAGAAAAAAAATAAAGGAATAGGTTTAGGACAGGGTCCTAAACACAAAGCTTTTGGAGATGACCCCATGATACTATCAGGAGAAACAGAAATTAGAAGATCCAATCAAAAACAACAAAAATATCTGCAAAGAATACAGTTGGTACAGCTTATAACACAGAAGAAAATCTGCAAGGGGTTTGTGACAGGGGACTAGCATCTAGACTTTAAAAGAACTCAAAATAACTCATAGCAATAGAAAATGATGACAAAGATACCATTTAAAGGAAAGCACATACTCTGGACAGACATTTCAGAGAGAGAGAGAGAGAGAGAGAGAGAGAGAGAGAGAGAGAGAGAGA